TTGTTTGAAGCTCACTGATGCAGTGTTCTGATTTCCTGACAATGATTTATTTCTTTTTTTGTCCTCCACAAAGGAAAATGAGATTTTAGTCATGAACTGGCTGGGTAGGTATTTGAATTGAGTGTGGGAAAACGCAATAGAGTGAGACTATTTAAATGACACTGTGAGAACTTCCTCACTGATATGCCTGAATGTTAAATTGGTGGAACTATTGTACCCATAGAGGTGAAAAGGTAACATAGTTTTCATGGTCAGAAAAACATGATCTATGACTAAAAGGCTTGTGATGGTATTTTTATAATGATACCACCCCACACCAGCAAGAAATTGAAGTGGTGCCAGTTTTAAAGGATATGCTAGAATTAAATGAAAGCTCACCACTATCTGATGTCCTCTATACATGCTTAAATGCCTCATACAGAGCACTGCGGGCTCAACCCAGGGAAAACAATTCCTAAATGTGAGCAAAAAAATCATCAAAGGAGCAGCACTGCTCATGTATTTGAAGTTATGCAACTGCTGCATAGTTCCAAGAGCACTTAAAGACTATTTTCTGTGTGTTACTTATTTTCTCTTAAAGGTAAACACACAGATAAATTTTAACTTAGTTATTAATATCTGTGCAGTCACCTTTTACTGCATGTTCCTGTCCAAGCATCTGAGAAGCTACAGTACCATTCTGCATGCAAATAACATCAATCTAATAAATTAATAGCGTTCATTGAAAAAAAAAAAGTAAATTTTAAACCAAAAAATACCTAAAATATTAGAGTTTTTTTCCTTTTCATCTTCCAAGGGAAAAAGAGAGCTAAACTAAAAGCAAATCTCTGTTCAAGTCAGGTCACCATGACACAAAGCAGTACAAACCAATAAATCCAGCAATGCTGACAGTCCACCCTGGCAGTATGCTCACAGGCTTCTGAGCTGTGGAAAGTTGGGAGGGCTTTGGATTTAAGCTCTGTGGCTGAAAGCTGACTTCTTGGAATGAAAGAAAGGTCAGCCTGCCACAAACAGCATGTAAGGCAAGAAATGTGTGCTCAGAGCTGCACTGCATGGGGGGAGCGCCGCCCTATCCTCTCCTGCTCTGCAGATAAACCAACCTTAATTTTGGGCAGGGAGGAGAGGAGAGGAAGGAAGGATTCCTGTAGGATTCCTGCTGTTCATGCCCCTGGCACATCACTGGTAACTGAGACGAATATTTGGGTGTAGGTAGGAACACAGGAAAGGAGCTCACCTTCCCAGCAAAGGTAATGGAGAGAGAACTACATCAAAAGAAAGAAAAATACCCAGCTAAGGTACAAACAAGGCATTGACTGTCAGAAACCACAAATTTAGGTCTCACTTTCAATGAGAAAGTTTATATGTTGCACATATAGCACGAGAAAGCATAACCCCAGTGCAGCTGAAGAAATAGCTGCAGATCAGAAATTACTATGTGTATTTATTATGCACACATATAACCAGGACATTTCAAAGTGCCATGAAATCAACTGAAAACTTTTCAGAACACATTTTCCTCTGTCATGGACTAGGTGTTAAGGAACCCACATTCCTCCTCCCCTAAAGGCTGGTCCCAGCTGTGGATGCAGCTGAGATCTTTGAAAACATGAGCCAAGTGTTTGATCTTTTGTGTTTCTTGGACCACAGCAAGCACAACTGCGGAGCAGCTCACAGACAAAGAGAACAGCTTGCAGGGGCTGGAGGTCTCACCTCTCCAAACACAGGTGAGCTGCCATGGCCAGGCACCTCAAGCCCCAAAACATTGTTTAAAAGCCATAAATATGATACCTGCACAGAGCTGAAAGGAAGCTGATGACTTCATGGGTTGGTTTGTTTGCTTCACTCAAGCACCAACAAAAGGTAAGGCTGAAGGGCTTTGGTCAAAAATACTCAACTGCACAGAACAGGAGAGGCTTAGCTTCAGACACAGCCTGCATTATTCAGTGCATGAAGAACTTTTAGTCATAGCTTGAAACAAAAGCCTGTAGAAGATGGCTGGCAAGCTTTCTAATTAATACAACAGGTTTCATACTTTTAAAATGTAGTCAGGCACATCCTAAATGTCAGAAAAGAAGTCTATCTGCTGAAACCTGTTATTCCTAGTATATAAACACACCTTAAGAAGATCCAGCATTCTGCCTTGCTTAATACATTGAGAAGCACTACAAGATGTCTATTTGGACCTATTTGTAAAGCTCAGGTCCAAATGCTTTGCTCTTTAAAAAACTATTAAAGGACATAAGTACATACAACTATAAAACTTTGTACTCAGAAAAAAAAAATCAAGTAATTCCTCTCTGAACATTGCTGCAGGGTTGAAAAGTCATAGTACACAAGATTTCTGTAGGGAAGGAAGAAATCAGGTGTATTGATCAATGTTCACAGAATCAGAATCATTTAGTTTAGAAAAGACCTGCCAAGATCATTGACTCCAAGCTTTGACTGATGTCCACCTTGTCAACTAAACCACAGAAGTAAGTTCAGTCATCTCTTGAACACTTCCAGGGATGGTGACTTCAACACTTCCCTGGGCAGCCCCTTCCCACACTTAACCACCCTTTCAATGAAGAAATTCTTCCTGATATCCAACCTGAACTTCCTCTAGAACAGCCTGAGGTCACATCCTCTCCTGCTGTCAGCTGTTACCCAGGAGAAGAGGTTGACTCCTGACCCCACCTGGCTGCACCCTCCCTTCAGGCAGCTGCAGAGAGTGATGAGGGCCCCCTGAGCCTCCTTCTCTCCAGGCTGAACACCCCCAGCTCCCTCAGCTGCCCCTCACAGCACTTGTGCTCCAGACCCTTCCCCAGCTCCGTTGCCCTTCCCTGGACACGCTCCAGCCCCTCAATGTCTCTCTGGCACTGAGGGGCCCAGAACTGAGCACAGGATTGGAGCTGTGGCCTCAGCAGTGCTGGGTACAGGGGGACGGTCCCTGCCCTGCTCCTGCTGGCCACAGCTGGCTGATCCAGGCCAGGATGCCATCGGCCTTCTGGGCCACCTGGGCACACTCTGGATCATGTTCAGCTGCTGTCAACCAGCACCCCTAGGTCCCTTTCCACTATTCATAGTCTCTACATAACCCAGAGCAAATGACAATATCAAAATGGACATTAAAGGCCATTTTATAATCTGGGCTTATTGCTGGATTTTTTTTTCAAACTTCATACAATCACATAATGATCACAGGACTTTCAGACTTATAGCAGACACAATTACCCAATCATTCTATCTTGTGTTGTGAATTCATCATGGCCATGAACTTTTGGAAATTTTTTCTGTGAGTTAGAGGTCTTTCAGAAATACAATTTGAGAATGTTTTTAAGCTTTGTCATCTATTCCCTAAAGGTATCTTTTTTTCCTTTTTGATTATGCCTTCGAGGCAAATATAGTGCATTTCAGACTAATCTGCCAAGTTCATGGGACACGGTGACATGTCAGCTACTTAGGGATTGAGTAAAACGCAGATGTAGGCAGATTCATGCATTCCTAAGGCAAACATACTGCCTGATCTGTCGTCTAATTTCAAAATTAGCGTGATGAGGAGTAATTTTTAGTGTGGGAAGTTTCTGTTATCAGTTTAATCTAAACAGTAACATAGACGGTCTGCTTACTCGGTGGTAAATCATGTGGCAATACTTCAATTCCAAAAGAATGCATGGAAATACAGTTGTTACATGAAAGTGGAATGATTGAAATGGATTTTTTTACTGAAAATCACATTTACTGAATGCAAACACAAAATAAAGAAAAAAAACTTCAGTATGTAGAAATAAAGAATTTTGTGCTATTTATTAAAACATAATTGCTTTAAGGATCACAGTTAAAAGTCAGACTGTATGGAATATCAAAGAACATTGCTTTCCTGGGCAGTTAGAAATGACAAACCTTGTCAACTAACACAGAAGTCTGTCTATACCACTTTATCTAGGGTCACACATTTGCACCAGCTCTAGTGGGTTTTGTATTGGTATGTGGGGATCTCAAAAATGCTCTTATTTCCAGTTGTAATGTAGATTCTTCTTCGTTGGCGTTAGGAAATTATGACCAGTAAGGACACCTAGAGACATTCCTGTACTTGTCAGTTGTCCGCAGTTTTTTCAAGAACCAAGATGTAATTTTTACCAACAAGCAACATCACTTATACTTTTAATGAGGGGTACCCTGATTTAGCTGGGGATACTGAACTTGTGTTCCAGGGGCATTTGTTCATGTGACAAGGATATGTCTGTACAGACCAAGCTACACATCACCAGCAGGACACAGGCACACAATGGGGACATCTAATGAGCCATGGGCAAGAGCAAAAGCATAAGGCCAGAAGTATCCAAACAAGATTCACAATTTCCTATGTTTACATATAATTTGTAATGTCTGGCAAAATCTGTCATATTTTAATACACTCATAAATTCTTCTTAAGGTTTATCTGTTTCTCTGTTGTTTGAATATATCTACAATTTACTGCCTTAAATGCATGAGTTGCTTCATAACCGTATCAAAGGAACAAACACCACATTATAATTTTTCAGTTGAATATTCATTTCTGTGGTAAAACATGAATATAAAGCTAATTGAGTCCAATTCCTTTTTTACAGTTACTCCATTTATAATGGTGTACTGAAATGAGTCTGATGTGTATCAAAATGTTTGCAGTCATATTTTCCATTTCTTTTTGCATCTGATCTCACTATAATTTGATGCTAATGGCTGATTGAGTGTTCAGCATTGGAATTCAAAACATTAAGATTATTAAGAGTTGCAGTCAGTGAAAACATCTCTATTTAAAGCTTCTGAAATACAGAATGTAAGAGTTGATGGATTTAGGATTACAGCTAAGTGATTTAGCTTTAGTAAGTGCTGAACTTTTAAGGAAAAATAACACAAACCAAAGCTTAGTGGGTTTGCATACACATTACTTCTGGTGTAATACACACTGAAATTTTCCTCAACTTTCTGATTTTTGAAGAAGAGCTCCACTGAATGATGCAGAAAACAGTATGCTGGATCAAGAGTTTCAATGCAACATGACCACAGATGTGAGTATGAATGTACACTGTGTGCCTAGCACATTATTTATTTCTGATGGCATTGCAGTAATAAAAAGTAAAATATCCGTAAGAAAATGCGGGCAATATTTATTTTAATTCCTCCAAAATCTTACATTATGCACGTGCCCACATGTACCCATGCACACAATGTGCTAAAGTAAACATTTTGCACCATGTCATACCAGAAATTCAAGAGTGTGCAATGTGTAAGAAAAATGTATAACTGTTGTTAGAAATCTGGAAAGTCTATTCACTGTCATTCATATGCATATCTAAAAAGCAGCTCAGACAAGTTTACAAAACATTTCTTATGACTGTTGTGATTTTTGCAGTTAAGGAATCAGGAACTCACAATATGTACATCAAGCTTGAATGGCTTGTGTATATTACAGGTATAAAGCAGTCGGCAGGGTAAGTATGTCAAATATGCTGAAGTCCTGACATTGCAAAACCTTGACCAAAATAAACAAACAAAAAATGACCCAGATATCATCTCTGTGATAAGAGAAAAGACATTTCACTTCTTATGAAAGAGAAGAGGTTTCACCATCCCTGCTAGAATCTTGGGTAGCTGTGCAGCAATCACTTCTGACATCATCTCAGGGAATTCAACGCTCAGTGCACGGGACTGGAGAAATGTGTTCAAACAGAAGAGATGGAGCTGTTTCACCAGCTGGATTTGATAAAATACAAACATGATCAATCAGGCTAACAGTAATGCACCCAAATAAGCATGCTGTCAATCACTTATACATTCATCAGCTCACATCATTCTATACCTTACCCTGTCCTTTCTTGAATCAGGAATGAGGGTACTTGTCAGACCCTATTAATGGCAAAAACCATACATATAGCTATGGCAAGGCATATAAAACCACTGCTTCACTAATATTACAAAGTAGTATCACCCTCACTCAAGATGTATATGATGAACAATGGCAACTACTTAACAAGCTTTCAACCTTACATCTTATTCTCACATTCATGTATGTGCTTTGGTCACTACCTGCTATTTAAACACTGCTCTGGGAGGCAGCATTTACTACTTATCTGTGAGCTTTGACATGGTTTTCATTATGATCATATCAGTGTATGCTGCAAACACTGAACTCCACAGACTCTAATCCCTTGAAAGCAACTGCTCAACACATGATTATTACATCTCTTCCAGCCTCCCTGAGAGATTCCAATTTTTATTTCAGACCAGTGACCATTATGTTGTTAAATACTGGACTATTTCTGCTACCTTAGGCTTTAACATGACACAATCTCTCCAGTGTGATGATTTTTCTTTTCCTTGTATCTCCCACCACCTTACCAGCCTGAGCTGAAACAGGACTTGAATGAAAATACTCCATGGATCAAATACCACTTTGTAACTTTGCAGCAAGCCTCTCTCCCTCTTTCTCTTCCTCACAGGTTATTTTACGGTATGCAAAAGGAAGAGATTGAATTAAAATAAAATGCAGATTAGCTGAGTTCTGAAGAATACAAAGATGCAAAAGTCCTGTCCACCTTGAACTCCTTAGGAGTTCCTCACAACCAACATTGAGTTCAAGTGTCCAGGGCATGGTATCTAGAATTGTCAAAGATTAGTCAATTTCTAAACCTAGACAGATACTGAAAAAGTGGTACAGAATACCCACATGAAACCAGTTGAACTAAGGTTGGAAATCCAATCTTGGTTGCCTTTCACAAATTCTTAGTAGTCTGACTTTGCAACTTGAATTGCCTCTACCTCACACTATTCTCCTGAACAGGTATACACACACACATATACACCACCCCTACCAAAGCCCACAGTTGTACTGATTATAATACACTAAAAATTAAACAATGCATGTCTCACAAATACTTTGATGTGGTATACCATAAAATATGTGCACAATACAAATACTGATGTTGAATATAGAGCTATCTATTCACACAAATATACACAATAAAGGAGTTTTTTGTTTGTTCTTCTGTTGTTTAGCAATGCTGATGACTCCCTTCCATAGAATTACTTTTAGGAAATTCCTTCTTACATAAAGAGCAGAAAGCATTAACAAATCAACTTACATCATGCATGGAATCCATCAGTTTTGTAAGTTGATAGAAACGCTGTGAGTTGGCCACAACGCCCTTCTGGCGCAAACCAATTGCCTTCACCAGTTCTCTGATGTAGCTTGTTCTCATCTCATCAAATTGGCTTTGACTTCTTAGACCTTCCAAAGGAACTAAAAAAAAAAAACCAAATCAGCTGGGCTACAATTTACTCTGAAGGCAGTGAAATTTCAAGTACAGGAAAAATTTACAGTATTTCATGCTGTACAGCGCAATTCATTATTATGTGCCAGGTACTTCTTCGTCTTCAGGAGTTACTCCAAAACCAGTGATACAAATAGTTAAAAGGATATACCAGGAGCAATCAGTTCATTTTGCTAACTGCCTTGTGACTAGAAATATCCCTAAGTTTCAGTTACATGTGTTAGCTGGGGAAAAAAAAATATGGCTTAAAGAACCACTCCTGTCTTTGGGGAAACACGTTATGGACTGATCTGTGCTTACCCTGCTGAGGGTCTGCCCTCTTCACAGCAAATCTGTGGTAGAGAGATCTAGCTGGAGTGCTTCGAAATGGAGTCAAGGAATGAACTAACAGCTCTAAAGCAGTGCAGACAGTAAAGCTTTACAGTAAAGCTGCCAGGGCTCAGACCTCCTGTTTGAGCCTCTTTCACTTAATAGAACTGATCAGAGACTTAAAGGTGAACAGCTTTTGAGAAGAATGAGCAAGGAGGAGAAACTGGTTGAACTCCTTCTTCTCTTAAAGGTCAAGTGTGAGAATAAAAATGAGGCCATGGAGAGAACACTGAGAAAAGAACCTGTTAGTGGCTACTAGTGATAAGTGTCATGGAAAAAGAATAGTTTAATTTTCAAAGCCTGGATGATTCTGGATATTTCTTTTACAGAGAACTAAGGAATGTTTTCGTATAAAGTGGCTCTGATGGAGTTTAGGGTTAGATAGAAGTTACCCTTGACTTACATCTCTAAACCAGCAATTAAGTCTTTATATTTCTCCTGCAAATTGATTTTGAAGTTATCTTCCATCAATGAATGGCAGTTTTCCTCTGAATTCTGCAAAAAGACACATTCCCACCTAATGACCAAAAGTTCCTTGTAGCTATCTATTTGAGCTGCTCCCTTCCCTGAACATGTGTCAAGAATGAGGATACTTTTATTCAGTGGCACGAACCGAGCCAAAATCTTATGTAACAAGATTTAGAAATTCCTTTAAATCAGAAGTCTGGAAAGCATTACATTTAAGCCTCAGCCAACTCAAAGAAAAAACTGTGAAATCAAATATAGTGTTAAAACTTAGGCTGGGGGTCCATTCAAAATTAGAAATGTATCGAGACTGACACTCAGTTTATTTCAAATTATTGCTGCTTTGGAATAATCTAAAAATGTCAAAAACAGTTCATCTAAATAATTGAACAGAAGACACAATGAGAGACTAAAGGATTAGACTTGATTTACTGTTAGTACACATAAGATTGAAATGGCTGTACTTTCATAATTGAAGTAGATTAAGATGAACATCATGACTAAAATAAAAGTAGTCTTGAAATACCTTAAAGCAACAACAAGGTTATTTGGCTTTTTGAAAATACTTTTGTGGAATTATATTTATACAGTACCAAATGTTTACTAAATGTCTCAGCAACAACTATTAGGTGTGTTCCTTTTCCCAAAGATCTGACAAATTCTTTTTTCCTGTAAGACGATAAATGCAGGAGAGAACAAAAAGCAAAACTCATCAGAACAGGTAGAAATACTTTTTTTTTTTTTAAGTGATTTCTTACATATAACAAAACATATAATTTAAAAAAATAGCCTTCTGAATGTGATGCAGTTGATAAAGAAAGGTAACTGGATGAATTCTATTAAATTGATGCACTCAAAAATTAGAGGGATTGGACCAACACTGTCATGCTTTTTTGAATTTGACATGAACTTTCTGGAACAGAGATAGCTGAAATTTATCACAAATTTGTCACAAATTTATCTGAAATTTTTGAAGATAGACAAGAGTTTATTTGGGATGAAAACAAGGGGGAAAGCATTGAAAAAAGGAACACATTAATATTCTAACAAAGCAGTTGGAGTTGTATCAGGATTTTTAGATTTTTATCCACATTACCTTTACTGCTTTAGCAGAGTGTATGGAATTTTGCTATTCTTTTAGTAATTTCCATGTTCATATCTTTTTAAACTTACTCTCTGCTGAGACCAGTTTTTTGGGGTTTTTTTTTTTTTTTTTTACAAATGGGTTTATGCAAATACCAGCCATGAACAGATTGAGAGGGACTAAATTTTAATTCCTTATCAATTAACTAAACTTTGTAAAACCAAGAAGCAGGTCATGCAGGATTTGCACATCTCTCCTCTGACCCCTTTGTGTGTTGAGAACCAAACTTTTACATTCTTTCCACTATATTTTTCAAAAGTGCTTATTCTCATGTCTAACAGCACCTGTATAACTTTAAAAAAATTCTATTTGGGGATTCATAACTAACAATTATGGCCTTAGCAGATGCAAATTTTAGTATTTCAGAGAAGATTTTGGAAGATAAGTTCACAAGCAACCACATTTCCTATGTAATGGGGAATGCAGCTGTATGCTGCATTCTTGAAAAGATGCGTATAATTAAGTGACCATGGATTTTGTTTCCAGAGAAACAAACCAAAGAAAAACATTTCCATTTGTTTATATCTGTGCTAAACTTCACCTATTTATAACTATAAAAAGTTGAATAAATGCCTGTATTGTTTGTCATGGCCACTTCCCTAATTCTTTTCAGCAAACATGCTTTAAGATCTTGGTCAAGATAAAGCCCTCAGTCCTGATAATTTATTAAATATTTTTAAATGTATTATAATACTTTTAAGATTGTTTTGATTTGGTTGGAGATTTTTAAATCTGCGTACAGTCATTTGAACCAATATTTCCACGCAGATATACCGCACAGTTGTTCTGAAAATGTGTAACACAGTATGGCCATATGTCAAAAGGGATCCAACATTTCCCCAGTATGCTTATACACAATAAAACCAACAATGAATCACAAATTCTTTGTTCTTTATAAATATTAGAAAAAATATTTTTAGTCTTACAATACTAACATTCCATCTAGGACTGTTCCATTTGTTAAGCCATAGAGCTTAGTGACTGTCAAGTTGTCAAGTTAAACAACATGGTTCAAAACCCTTTTAGTAGTGATGTGTTACGAAGAAATAAAAGAACCTACTTGTGTTGAGAAGTAACAGTGCTTTCATACACAGGAACTCTTCTTGGCTTACTTGAAGTCTGACAAATTCCTGTGGGAGTTGCCACATGGACAGACACAGGGAATAGAACGATGATTCTTTCATCCTCTGTCTTACACCCAGAAAAGTTTAAAAAAATAAATTAAAAAACATGTAAACAAAGACAAAGAATGTCTCCAGTACTAACTGCTTGAAAGAAAGGTCTTATTAGAAGTTTATCACATTACAAAAATTAAAGATAAGCTTATACACATAAACAGTTTTCTGATTATTTTTGTTCCTATGCTAGTTTTTTATTGCAATGAATGTGCTATTATTTTGGATGTTAAATCTGTTACTGCTGTCCAGAAAAGAAACCAAAAATTATCAAAGCTGAACTCTAACCACTAAAAATAAAGGGAGTTTACTAATTAAAAATACCCTGATGAATAATGTGAAGTACTAACTTATTTTAGAAGTCAATAGATTCGTCTATCTCCGTAAAGGTTTCAAAGCATAGAACTGAAGACAAACCTGAAAGTCTATAGAAAAGCTTATTCTTAGGATTTCCAAAAATATTGGTATCAAGATACTTTGTAGCAACTCTAGCCCGGTACTTCTAGCAGCAATGATATTACTCTAGCATGTTATGCCATTAAAGAAACAGTTAAAAATGATACATGCTAAGTACATGGAGACATTAATACAACCTTTCCTGAACTCCCACAGAAGTAACCACAACAAATCACACAGGAAATACATAAAACTGTGGGGTTTTTTGCAGCACTTTGATACCACTTTTCTCTTTGTGATTTTGGTATATTGAGTATATATTATTGCATATACTTAGTAGGACAAATTTTCAACTGAAATGACTGCAATGGTAGCATTACAAAGTTTCTAATCTAGACTGAATTCATTGCATATTAACCTGATGATCCAATAATTTAGACTGATTTTAAAAGGTGGCATCCCAATCCAGATGAATTAGGTACAATAACCAGAAGATTAAATTTTGGTTGCCCACCTGTTAGTGAGTTCAGATCAGCATTCCAACCTGACTGCAGGTAGTTACCTCAGCAAACAAAACAGGATATTTTCCATTTAAAAAAGACTTTTACAATGCATTGAATTTTTTTCTTGTCAAAGTGTTACTGTCAGCTTGAATGAAAATTATTTCAATGTTGTTCAACATCTGATATCTTGTACCAGCTCTTAAATGACATAACCATAGAAATTTAATCTTTTAGACCTGAATAGACTTGTTTCTTCATCTACTTTAAATCTCCTTTTCTATTCCTTTTTGGTAGCATCTCTTCTTAATTACTATCTATGAAGAGCAATAGCAGCTTTTAGGGTTTAGCAGCTTAAATGTTGTTCTTACTCAAATTTTCAGACACTGCAAAATACAAGAACAGTAAGTCCTTGCAGGGTGTTAACACAAAGAAATCTTTGTCAAACTAGCACTACTGGCTTTCTTGGTCTGAAATTGATGCTACCAAACACATCCTTCCCTAGAAGCATTGCAACTCAGTTCACTAAATCATAGAATGGCTGTGACACAAGCTCTGGATTGTGGTTTCGTGGTAATTATGAAACAGCTACAGTGTGTGTTGCCCCTGCAAAAGGACTTTCTATTATCTCCTTCTACCTCTAGGCATACACTCCTGTGATTCTGGCATTAGTGCCTGCACTCCTACATGGTGAGTCATGTCAGGGATCATCTCTATCTGCTAATGAATGGCTTTTTCTGGGGCACCTCTCAGGCATATAAACTCATCTGTTTGACAGTGCAGCCACAGAGTGTTTGGTCCAGCTCAGCTAAAGTCATGGGGATGCATGACCAGGACAGCTAACTTTTTTGGCAATGTTCAGCAGTTACCCTTGCTTAAGGTGAACATTAAAGTACAAACTTAGACATCATCATAAAGTTGTTTACATTTTACTGATCTAAAAGGTAACTTGTTTCCAATAAATAGTTGCAGATATGATTCAGTGCATCATTCACTTTTTATATCTCCTTGTTTATAACATCTCTAGTATGACCCTGATGAGATGTTCTACAACCAAGAGAGGAATATGTTGTCAGCACCCAGCACAGATGATCTTGAGTTGATAACAAGAATCTGTCTCTGGTGGGTTACAATCAGGGTTCATAAATCTTAACACCATTCCCAAAGAAAGTACTTAAAGTCTTCTTCACAAGCTGTCAGCAGTGGTGCACAAGCGGGGTGATACTCCAACACATGACATTACTGCTTAAAGCTATCAACTCACTCTGTGTTTCCTCTTAACATAACCATAAGATATATAAGACTATGCTGGGACAACAATACAGCCAGAAATTAATTCAACCTCATCACTTCTAAGTATTTCAATTTGTACAGCGCAATTAATAAAAATGGGACAGGAAAGAATTCATTACTCAACAATCTCACAGTCATTTACAGTCATTTGAAAGAGAAAAAAAGGTCAGAAGCTATAGGGTTGGCTCTACTGAATATCTTCTACAAAGGAGGGAGGATCTTGCACATCTATAGATTTTAAAATCAGGTGTCTTCTGCAAACCACCCCTTAATCCTTAAACAACATGTATTACAAAATACCTGTTTTTCTTTCAGCTTGCTTCATAGCAGTTCTTTCAGTATTTTAAGAAAAAAAAACGGAGAAGAATTTATTAAGGAAAAATAAATATAGGGATTAAATTATGTTTTACTGTTCCTGGCAACCTTCCATGTACTATAACAAAAGAATATAAAATTACAAGTCTGACAATATTGATTTGCGGATCTGGAAAACTGACAAAGACTGAAATGATTATTATCTAAATTAAATAGCATAGTGAAGGAAAATCCAAGCCAAAAAGCCTCTGCTATCCCCCAGCAGAAAAGAGCAGTCTCATATAATTTTTCCTTTATATTAAAATTCCTACTTGATAAGTAGTTTTTTTACTGAGCATTTAGATTTTAGGCAAACTATTTGCAAAAAGCACCCAAACAAAAACAATGAAAAAAACCCACATTCAGTCCCATTTAGTAAACATTAACTCATGACTTATTCATACAAATTGAAGTAAATCTTCTGACAGCATGATTTTTTTTCCTTAGATAATTAAAATTCTGTTTGAACTGCTTTTGCTTGACCATGTACACAGAATAGTTGAGGTTCCCACAAAACCACTCCCAAAGATACTAAACTTTGATATGGTCAGAGGACTTAGCCATTAATTTTGAAACAGAACAAGTAATGAATGAAATCTTGGCCTCAATGGAGTCACATTCCCATTGGCACATAAAAGTTCAACATGTTATTCATGGGAGCATTCTACTTACTCATTTAGAATCAGATCTGGTGCAAAATACAACATCTGACCACTGACGTGTTTGTATGATCTCCATCCCATGGCAAAAACCATTAGACTCATCCAGGAATACTGGATGAGGGTTATCTGATCGTCGATATGCAAATTCCGAAAACCTGGAAATGAAATTCAAGATAAAATATTTCATCATTCTCATTTAGACAGCAGCTAAGTAGGTGTTTTGAGATTACAAATCTGAGCTATCAAACTGATAACACCTAGAAAAACAAGCAGTTTTGGGGATGTAGCTCTCCAATGCTTGGGTAATAACTGCCTATCTTAGTTAAGCTCTTGTCTTTTTGTTCTCATCCAGTATTTTGAAATGTTCACACCAAAATTTATTTTACCAAAAATGACTGTTTCACAGGATAGGAATGTATGTCTTTTTCCTTTGGTAAAAATATGACAGTTTGTAACATCATCACTGTAGCCAACTCTCATTGAATGTCAATAGCTTGAACATCAGTATTCTTACCATAAGATGCAGCTGTCACACAAAAACATCCAATATGAGCACCTTTCTTGCATTCAACTTAAGAGAGCCATATTCAGTTGTGAGCTTGTGTTTGATCGCTTTTGCTGTTTGAAAAATTTAAAGATTGCCACGAATTATCTGAGTGAAACTAATAGCTTCCTGCCACTGAAAGGAGCACTCCTGCTCCTCATTGTGTGGTCCTGTTACCTCCTTCAAGCAAGCTTTGGCACTCATGCTCCTCCTCAGTGAACTGGTTCAGTTCATGAAGACAACAGGAAACACAGAGGGCTAAAAAAAGGTTTCTTTTCCTCCCATTTAGTGAGATGAATCAATTCACTCAAGAGGTCTGTTAAGTGCCAAATGCAATGGGAAGAGCAGTGATTGAGACTACTGCTTTCTGCAGCAGCAGTGTCAAACTGAGCTCACATAAGAGTATTTTCCAGGCTTTCTCCTCAATATATTGATTTCTATATATCCCAGGATGACCATGATGATCCCTATCACCATACAGCACACATAAATATACAACATGGATCTTTTTTTTCAATCCAGTTGTGGATCTTCATAAATTCAATTACTTCTTATTACCAGTCTGTTTGTGAGCAGCTTACTTCTAATTGGTATTATTTATAAAAATTTTACTTTTTGGTGCTTTCAAAAATTCGTTTTAGTAATAAGAAGAATAAAGAATAAGCAGATATACAACCTTTTTTATATCAAATGAATAAATAGAAGAAAGGCTGTAATAACAATCACATACAGGAACTGTCGGAGCTCCTGTGCTTACTTTGAGTGAATCTAAATATTTAGATGGATTCTTTCAAATGTGCTTCCCTATTAAAATATATTTGATTAGTTAAATTATCTGATAAGGGAAAGCCTAATAATTTCAGAATTTGTAAAGAATTAACAGGTAGTCAATAGTATTATCTTTAGACTGCTCCTCTCATGAAATATTTGCTTAAATACAATTCACTACATATAAGAAATTATATTACCTGGTAGTAATTTAGACCACTTGACTACACAAAGAAGTTGCCTCTCACAAAGATGATTCAGACTGGTCAGCAAGGAACTTGGTGTTTCGGGTTTTGTATTGTCATAACCAGCATAGACAACTTCTGGCTCAATGCCTCGTAAAACACTTATCATTGGGGGAACAAACTGTATTTCTTGATTTGGAGAAAAGGACAGCCTTTGGGTTAGAGCCTGGCTTTCATCTTGAAGGGCTGCTGGCTGCTGGAGTGCAACATCTAATGTTCTCACAACCTTAATTTTGTTAAACTTTTTCAATTTTCGACCTGAAAAAAAAAATTGTTGATCTGTTAGAAAGAGTTAACCAAGAACATTAGTATTTTCCAGTAATGCTGGATTACACTTTTAATCTATACAAGGAAACCAGAGCTGTCTTCAGAAAAAATTTTCTATTTTTTGACTATTAATGTAATTGAAAAATGATAATGGAAAATTCTTTAGAGCTTCTCCCTCTGTATCCTGCTCCTTTCACTAAGGGATGAACAGCACCCACCCATTAAAATTATTGCCATGAATTCTAGGTTACAGTAACCTCGTAAAGGGTTTTCTGGTTCAATTCCCACTGTTCTGTCATATGTCAACAGCTGAGCCAGCTGGCTCTACAATTCAGTTTCTATTCAATGTCAATTAAAGATACTGCTTCTTTTACTCCCTAATATTCAAAACCAAAAATGTTAGTAATTAATTACTACACATAGAAACTCCTCTCCTCCAGTTCCCTAAGAGCATTTCAGTGTCATGCCTGAATCTTATTTTGGTGCCCAGGGGGATGAGTGAAAGACTGACAAATACTGTAAACTCTTAGAAGATATTTCATTTCCTAAAGGATAATTTCCCTGTCTCAGTATTTTTAGTTGTTACTTCCATACTACAGTGGTATGAACAACACTAATTGAAACAAATTAATAGCTGAACTGCCTTCCCAAAATAAGCACAGATACATTAGTATGGTTATTTGCTTTAAATAGATCCTCAAAGATGATGAAAACCCTGCTAGATCTTTAGTTCTGCCAAACAAGTTTGTCTTAGGGAAAAAGGTCAAAAAATGCAATAAAAATACTGATACTTATGGCCTGATTTACATGACAGGGGAATAGAAATAGACACAGGGGTGATGGCAAAAACAGTAACACTCATCATGCAATGACATTCAGGGTTCATATTCCCACTAACTTAACTGCAGGTTTAATTAGATTAGTATAAAGTGCCACAACAATCATATGTTCTTTTACCACTTATGGTAAGAATAAAAACATTTCTAATTCGAGATTTCTTAGTAAAGAACCAAACACAAAGTTGCATCTTATGTTACAGCTGAACCAAGGAAAAAAAAGCAAAACAAAAACCCACAAAAGAATAGACAATTTATTATGCTGAAATACCTAGAGCTAATTTTTATCACAACAAACCTATACATAGTCATAAACTTGCTGGGAATTTCCCACTAAGTATTGTGTAGGCATGAAGGAAAACAGAAGTAACAATGCATTTGATAGTTCATAAATAATGATTTCAGGTATTTTCAGAAATAATGGCTTCAGATACTTTTACAGTTCAGAGAACAAGTAAAGAAAGAAACCAAACAGAATAGTTATCACATGGAAATGTTAGTAGTTAATAAGTACCCATGTTTCCAAGTGATTAAATGTATCAGGATTAATGTCACACTGGTTTGCAGAACTGCTCGTGTGTTTATTGCTTATTATGTTGCTTAACAGCCATCAGTAAAACAACTCCACTTGTTACCTATCTACAAGAGAGATGACTATTAATAACTTGCAGCAAACTTTCCCATCTACAACAAAGGAGACCACATGAAATTAATAACAACTCTAAAGAACATAAGGAAAACAATGGAGATTTGACAATAGCTTAGTTTTTCATTTGCTGTTTACAAAGCAGGTAAGTTTTGCTGTAAGATAAGTAAATGTCTCCCTTTAGTCCCATAATGGGTAAATAATACCAATCCACTCTGACAACTATTTTTCTTAATACTGTAATATATACTTCTTAATACTATATGTCTGTGCATATTTAGACAGCACAAAATTTTTGGTAACATTTTCATTACCTCACTTTAAGACAGCTAACCACTCAAGCAGTTTCTTCATACTCACTGTTCCCCTACCCTTGATTATTACGAATAGCATGTTTATAGTGTTTGTGTTCTACATGTACCTAGAAAACATTAAAAAAAAATCTGTTTAATCCCACTATCAAATATATTATGATTTTGTCCTTACTACCTAATTCTGTATTTTAATATTTTTTTAGCTAGGTATACAGAATCATACAGACAATTAGACATTACTGATGGTAGACAATTTATAATAAAAGGACTGGGTTTCTAGTAGAAGTTTAACATCTCACTACCCTTCTCCTTACCCTGTAATGAGGTGAAAAGCATCAATGAGGTATTATTCTTGACAGAACACAATGGCCCTTACTTTAAGGTCACTCTGCTCTTGCTTTTTGTGTAGAAAAAGAAGCCGTGCACACCTTAGGAGGGTGTATACAACATAGAGAAAGCAGCAAAGCAGAAGGAACACATCTTGGTTTTAATAAACCCTTTGATCCTACCTCAGAAAATATTACCTGGAAAATTAATTCACCTCTTTCTGCATGTAATCACTGCACTGTGGACTGAAAGCTGATTGAAACAATGAAGGACACAGTCATTCAGCAATACAGCTGAACAAGGAATCTGTGATAATCAGCCTGAAAAAATTACAGATTCACTCATAATAAATAAAAGAGTTGAGTACTTGTTTATTCCAGGACCTGATCCAGCTACCTGCTATCCTATTAGGTTTAAGATTAGAAAGGGGATAGATTAATGTCTCAAGTTATGAGGTTATAAAGCCCAAAGACAATTAATACTTTCAAAAAAATTACAAACACAGTACTGTGAAATGTATATTTTTATTGATACATTCCTTCTATAGATTAAGAAAGACAAAACAGTCCATATATGGAAATAAATTATTGAAGCTTTTGGTTGCTATCCTATAATTTACTTAATACTGATTTAAAATGTCTTTCAAAATTTCAGGGGTTTGATATTGCTTTGAATTTAGGGTTGAAAAATGGAACTGTTGTTCATATAATAAAATATTACACTTTTATCTATATGGTTGCTACTCAGTGACATTCAATGGAAGATAGATGTACTTCCCTAAGAAGTAAGTTTAATTTAATTAATATAGTAATTTTTGTAAGCTTATCATTAATATCCTGTAAAATTTCAGTGTTTCTCATGGTTATTAAATAATATAGCAAGTCTGGATTTAACTCAAGGCCAGCATTAAGAAACTAAGTATCAGAGGTAAAAGAACAAAAATATCTCTATGTAAGTTCTAAATGGCAGAAATCACAAAATGCACAAAAAATCTTGACCTATACAGGTTGTAAACATAAAAAAAGATTTAAAGTATTGCCAATTCCAACTCATTTAAAATACTCAAGGATGTCTCTAAGCATGTATTTTATTCCAAGAATTGGAAATTTGCATATAGGCTTTTATCACAGAATTCCAGGATGCGAAGAACCTCATGGACTATCCAGTCCAACCTTCCTTGGCAAAAGCACAGTTAGACCAGATGACCCAGCACCATGTCCAGATGAATCTTAAGTGTTCAACAGTGATGAGTCCACCACTTATCTGGGGCAATAATGCCAGTGGCTGATTTTTCTCATTGTGGAATATTTCCCTCTTGTGTGTAATCAGAATCTCCCTAGGAGTAACTTGTACTCATTGTCCCTTGCCTTTTCCATGTGACTGCTTGTAAAAAGGGAGTTTCCATCTCCTTTGCAGTCACCCTTAAATAGTGGAAACCACTATAACGTGTCCCTTAGGCCTTCTTTTCTCACAGCTGAACAAACCCAATTCACAGAATCAGAGAATCACGGAATCTTTTAGCTTGGAAAAGACCTCCAAGACCACCAAGTCCAAATTTTGATGCATCACCACCTTGTCAACTACAGCACTAAGTGCTATGTCCAGCCTTTCTTCAAACACCTCTAGGGATGGTGACACCACCACCTCTCTGGGCAGCCCATTCCAAAGTTTAACAACCCTACCTGTGAAGAATTTCCTCCTAATGTCCAAGCTGAATGTCCCTTGGCACAGCTTGAGGCTATGTCCTCTCATACTGCTACATGATCCCTGGGAGAAGATGCCGAAGCCCATCTTGCTACAACCTCCTTTCAGGCAGATGTAGAGAGTAAGAAGGTCCCTCCTGAACCTCCTTTTCTACCAGCTAAACAACCCTGGCTCCCTCAGCTGCTCATCATACGACTTATGCTCCAGACCCTTCCACAGCTCCGTTGCCCTTCCCTGGACACGCTCCTCAATTTCTTTCCTGTAGTGAGGGACCCCGAGCAGGACACAGCACTTGAGGTGTGGCCTCAGCAGTGCTGAGTACAGAGGGACAATCAATCACTGCCCTAATGCTGGTTGTAACACATTCTTGATACAGGCCAGGGTGCCATTGGCCTTCTTGGCCACCTGGGCTGAGAGCTGGTTCATGTTTACCCTTTCCTCGTATGGCAGGCTTCCCAGCCCTTTGATCACTGATGTCTTTGGGAAAATTACCTAAGCCCTGTAACACTCCATATATGAATCATATTGTGTTGATCAGCACATCAAGTCATGGGTAGGAAATTTTGCTCATGTGATACAACAAAGGAATTGTAAAAATGGCAGACAAGCAAAAGAAGAGGGGCAACAATATAACCATAGAAAGAGTATTATGGCTAACAGTCTGTCTTGAGATTTTGTTTGCAGTTTGAATTTTAAACCCCCATTTACAAATAGTATCATTTCACTCCAGTTTTCCTCATTTTTGGTCTACATTTGTCTTTTCTTCTTCCTTTCAGTACTAAGCACTCCATTTCAGCCTGCATAGAACAATTAGCTTCCTAATTTCCCCAGAACTGTTGACATCACTAAGAGCACCTGACAAAAAAATAGAGGTGCCACAGTCACAGCTCCACTCAGTATTTCCTTTTTTCCATTGCCCAACTATTCTCTTGTGCTTTCTATTTGCTGCCAGATTACTCCTTTCCAGAAGATGGTGTAGGTGGGGATATCAGGGCAGAGATCTGATGAAATGCAATGTCTCTCTAAGAACCAGTGAAACTAGACTGCACAGGCTTCTCAAAAAATGGGAGACAGCTTTGATTAGGTATACTTAGGAGAAGACTAAGCAACACAACAAACTGGTCAGTTACAAAAATCTAGTATTAAATACAAAGAAAACATTTACACTTGCTTTGTAACAGCTGAGGAAAAAAAAGTGATCCAAAAAGGTGATGAGAAAGATGAAGATTTTACTCTCTTCATACGTTACAGCAATGAAATAAAAGTCAGAGCATCTTTATCCTCAGGTTTTGTAGGAGGATGGAGCATCTTACTATGAGAACACACTAATGAGGACATACCATCTGATCAATATTGCTGGCAAAAGTGTCCAATTTTTTCTGTTCCTAGCACCTACACCCAGAGAAAAATTGCATATATTAAAAAACACTAGGGAAACTAGCATCCATAATGGCACACAGAGTGCAGAATGAAGTCAAGCCTGCTGGCGAATTTTCCCATTACTATGCAGAACAATGCTGAAGCAAAAGGACTAGACAATAATAGTGAGCCATCTCACACTCTTCTGCTCGTTGAAACTGCTACCTGTGATGTTGAAATACACAAAGTTTAGTTATCGGTGTTATCCAGGGTATCATAAATGAAAATTTAGGTTAGATCATCATCAAACTCCTAGCTGTGCAAAATTCACAGTCAGGAATGAATTTTTATCTGTATTAATTTACACCCATTAGAATCATAAAATGGTTTGGATTGGAAGGCATCTGAAGATCATCTAGTCTAAGACATCTGCCTTAGGTAGGTATATATTTTAGAGGTCAAATTGATCAAAACTTGCATGTTCTCCCAAATTTTAAAAGGCAGGCACTACATCTGCCAACTCCTCTTCCTGAGTCTTCATTCTTACTCTGCATTTTCCACAGGACCTCTGCCTCCCTCGCCTTCTCCTCTTCCAAAGTTGGGCAAACAAGGCTTTAGGCTCTGCCTTTGTATTAATAATGTTTCCCTACTGCACTGCCACTCTACTTTTAAAACACTACTTCAATCTGAGAAGGATCCAAAGGACATGTTCTCCTTTAGTCCCCCTCCCCTCAGCCCAGTGTGCCTGTCAGCTCCATTTATTTTTTTTAACTGAGAGGTGGCACTGACTGACTGCGTGAGAATGACACAAGGGCTGTGTGTGCAGAATACCCCAACTCCATGGGGCTGGCATTCAGCTTCCAGGAGCTGGAAACACAGAGCTGTGCACACTATCAGTCTGAAAACTATATGCATTATCAAAGAATGCTGACCAGCAAGATAATGAAATGGTGTACAGGATATACTGCCAGCTCTTCATTCAGGGATAAAAAACAATACTTAAATGTGGGGGAGGGAATGTAGGGTTGAGCAGGGGAGAGAGACAGACAGAGGGCTTAGATTGGCTAAAACAGATTAAATTTGAAATAAAGCAGGTTTTTGTCCTTCCCCCCCCGCCTTTTTTTTTAACTCCCTTTAGGAACATATTCTTTCTATCGCTTTAATATGTCCGTTTTCTTATGGTCTTAGCCACATATTTCCAAGCTTTGTGCTGATACAAAATAGGGGGAAAAAAACCCAGCAAAAATAAGCATCATTCCTGCCTGTAAGCACATCAAAACTTGCCATGTGACTACCTAATCATATACCATTTTCTCCCTGTAGGTTTTCAAAGGCACAGTGCTCAATTTCATTTAATGATACATTAAAAAAAAAAAACAAACAAATCTCTTACAGAAACAACTAATACAAAGATGGGATTTCCCAGCACCTAATAAGCAAAGCCTGCAGTATTGGTGCAACCACTGCCTGTCTCTCTCTGGTGGAACAGAAGGATACAATTCTTTTGACATGTACTCAAAGCAATGATGAAGAGTATAACACAAATTAGAAGAGCACAGACTGATTCCTGATTCTAGTGTCAATTTCAATCTACATATTTTTTACCTATACCAAACTACCTGATCCAAAATTATTAACAAATATACCTACGACATAATTCCTTTTCCTTCAAGAAAATGAATGTAAGGATACACAGTACAGAAAGGTGTTTTGCCCGGGTTTCCAGATTCACTGAAGAAAAATTATAAGTATAAAGCATTAGGTAATTCTTCCAAAAATAATATTTGAATGTGGTTTTTCTTTCACAGTATCAAAGTACTGTTGTTTAACCTCAACAGACTGAAGGTAGGGTACTTGACTGCCTATTTTTATAAATCCACTTGAAAAACAGCTCACCTCCCAGGACCATACCAGCCTGACAGCACTTCCTCAAGCGACATGCTGGGCAGTTCTTCCTACGGATTTTATCGACTATGCAGTCATTTCTTCCAGCACACAAATAGTTGTGCTGCCCTGCAGGAAAGAGAAAAACTGTGTGAACAACATGTTTTCTAACATGAAAAAATTATTTCTGTGTATAAATGTTGCAAAAATAGCTGAAGATTCAAAAACATATACTTGAACCATTAAAGAACTCCTTCATTTTATGCTAACCTTTGATCAATCATGTTACTATTTGAATATAATGCTTTATTTGGTCTGTTGAACGGCAAAACTCCTCATCTATGAAATACCAAAATAATTAGCAGTCAGCATGAACTGCTTAAATTATTGTACTAACTGTATTTCTTAAGTAAATCAAGCATAAAGAGAGACCAATTGTTTCTTTAAAACTTATTTTTCTGTGAAGTTATCAATCCTATTTTTAAAGAACTTAAGTACATTTTGCTTGGATTGATGTGGAGTTTCTGACAGCAAACAGAATGAAGAAGCTGGGGTAGTGTAAAAAAAAAGCCTTTTAAGCAAAGCAAATACCTCTGATGGGCAAGCAGTAATAACCTTGCTGAAATACCAGCTGACCAGGTGCAGCCAACACAGCCAAAAAGGACAAATAGAAGGGGATTGTAACTCTGTGGCTTAGTAATGTTTTAATCAGAAGAAATTCTCATCTACTTTGTCTCATTAATTCTAATTCTGGACTCCTCCTTACAGGAAACATTACCAAAAGCAGACAAATGAACAAAAATCCATCTTGCTATTGGCAGCAGACCAGTAAGCAAAACACTTCCTTGGGATTACTTGCAGTTTTTCCTTGTATTTCTTTGCCTTTATAAGCTACAAAAAGCATTCAGTCTTTTGATAAGCAACAACAATTTTAGAACTCCATTGGTTTAATTAAAATCCATGAGTATTATCTCAGCTCCATGGCATTCTAGTGCTTTAATGCACAGCTAATTTACAAAGGAATGCTTAAGCATAGTTAAAGTTTTTCTTTGTCCTTTTCTTATTTTGGGGGTTTTCTTTGGTCCCCTGAAAAGAGTTTTCTTCTGGACCTCTTTTCTAGGGAATTTGTTAATTCTTCACAAGATGGCCTGACTCCATATAAATCTTGCCCTGCTTATTATAAATCTAAGGCTGAACAAAATTTTTCACATTTACAAAAGAAATCATCATTGAATCGCAGTTATTAAAAGTACACTTCCATGTTCATATGTTCTGAAGTTTCAGATTAGACAGGATTAAACTTCCATGTTCATAGGTTCTGAAATTTCAGATTAGACAGGATTAAACAGTGTTTCTGCCCAGTGTATACCAGGCCATAAATGAAATCTGTTACTAGAATTTAGGCACAGTAAAATTTGCTTAAAAGCCAAAACGCTGCCAACCCAACTCTCTCAGGGGATTACGGTGACAAAAACTCAGGCACCTCTTGATCCTTACTGTTAACATCTTCCTTGTTTTCAGGACTTCTAAGAAACCAGTCACATCCTGTACCTGACTTACACCTTCATGTGAGTTTTCCATTCCACTCATCTCTACCCCACCTCTCCCAGATACCTTCTGTCCCAAAGTGTATTCCACTCTTTCTGATTGAGCTAAAACTTATCTGGAATACATATAAGTTTCAATTGTTTGGCAGTTTTCAGTTTCATCAGTAAAGAATTTTGTTTTTAATTGCAGTGATTTGTGTGGATTTCATCTCAATAGATAAATCTGAGTAAATGTTCCCATTTGAAATCACTTCTACCACTGTGCAAAGCTGGGTTCTGAGAAACTGTTACTTGCTTGACATTAACATTTTAGGGACAGCAGCCATCTGAAGGAGAGATTGTGTAAGAAATGAACACATGCCAGGTATTTGCCTAATTTCAAAATTACTGGACAATATTTAGTTAGATCACAATGTTTGGAAGCTTTTCCTGGAATGATAAAATATGTATTTGAAAATGTATTTGCAACAAGTTGTTCAGTCTTCAGGATCATCTAGACTTGAACTGTCTTCCATACTTGAGCATTGCAGTTATACCAAATGCATGTACTAATGAAGTACCCAAAATCTCCATCAAGATAAAATCACCATTCAATTGGTACCTTGATAGTCAGTATCTTGTCTATGACTACTGTCATTATAACCAGGAAAACAAAAAACAAAACAAACAAGCAAACAAAATACTCAGGAAAAAAAACAAGACAGTATTATAGTCACTAGTGCACAAGTTTGAAGGAAAAGCTTTCTATTAGCATTTCCCACAAAAATATGAACCTGGGAACTTTCTGGCAATTGCCACACCTTCACACCTTCAAAAACTTCACCTAATGTTAAGTTTCCTCTGCATGTTTACTTTGCACTGTTTTTTGAAAGTGCACATTGAGGGTCACTCTCAATGTATTGGCCTGTGACCAGCTTGATGAAGAAAACACAGAGATGATTTTATCTGTCACTTAAATGTTCCTGATTCTTGTAGAATAGTATTTTTTTAAACTTCCATCAAAATCCATTACTGTTAGCAAAGCTGCAAGTTCTAATGTAAGCAGGCAAACACAATTTTTAGTCCTGTAATGACTATTGCTATACTGGGAGGTTTTTAATCCAGTGGTGAAAGTAGCACATACAGTGTCTTTACAAACTGCACTCTTAACTTAGCTCACTGACATGCTGTACACCACTTCACAATCACTCCAGTAAACTCAAGAGTTGCAAAAACTTTGTAGATGTACAAAATATGGAAAAAAAAAGCTTTATCTGCACCTGGAGTATCAGACACAGCAATCAGTGATTTGGGTAAGTGCATCTGTGCTGAACTGCTGCCACCCTACACAGAAGCAAAACACTTGCAAACTCTCAGTTCCTCTTAGCTGCAAGAAGAGTACTATCTCACCTTGCTTTTTCTCTCTCCCAAACGTGACTTTGCCTCCCTGTATCTCTATTAACTGCCAATGCTTTTGTATAAAACCACCAACCTTTCCAGAGCACATCATGGTGTTTTACTTAGTCTAGTTTTAGATTTCTGTCTAAAGCTTGCAGACATCTATTGCATCTCTTTGCAAATTATTTTACTGCCAAATGTCTCCCTCTGCTTTACTGCCAAACATCAACTTTGCTTCCTGAAGGCTCACCTCAAGGTTTTGCTCAATAATTTTCTAAAAGTATGTTTTACGTCTTATAAACTTTTTCAAAAGTACCAATTAAATCAATAGGTAAAAAACCAAACCAAAACAAAACAACAGCCACAATAGAATCGTGGGAGCTGACAAAAAACATGGGTTTAAAATTTAAAAAATGGGAAATAAGTTCACCTGTGCACCTAAACAAAACATAATGATGGAGATGTAGCTTTTGAGTAAAAATCTGACTTCTGGAAGCTAAGACAACAAACCAGCCTAGTCCCTAGCTTGGCCAAAAACTGACTTGTCAGAGTAAATACAGGGTAATCCTTACCCTGAACATGCTCTGACGAGACATGGTTTTCCACAGCTAGGCAGTCTGGCCTAGCTCATCCTTGGTAAAAAATGGGAAGTAAAAATATATTTAATTTAGTCTGGATCTAAATATAACACTATTTGCACTGTTTCAAAGTGCAAAACAGCAAATGTGGGTTGAATTTACCTCTCATCGTGTTTTTTTTTTTAAGTTGTGAAGAACTAGGAATCTACACTACACAGTCCCCATGTCCTTGTATGCCATCCCATGCTATTAGTCTCAAAGATTCCACACACTTCAGATAATGCTGTTGGGACTTTAATTTATAAATTATTTTATTTCTGTGTGTTTTCTATAAAAATAGAAAAAGTCTCTGAAGTGAGACTTCTGACTCCCAACTACTTAACCACAACCCACATCCATCATGGACTTTACCATGCATAATCTTTTGATAAAGATTTGATTTCCCTCTTGGCTCATTGAAGTAAAATTCTCACTTCCAGTTCTTAAGTAGGTGTTTCAACTTCCACTCTGTAGCCTGTATTGGTATAAAGAAAGACCTGCTATTGATGCAAGTCTGCTCCTCAGCAAAGAATTAAGGATTTAGTGGACCAAAGGGGACAAAGAGTGGAAAACAGAAGAACTTGTGAATATGTTCCATCCGGGAATCTAACTGAAATAATGAAGAACTTCTTTCTTCATAACATATTTCATAGTCAAAGCAATAAAAATAATTGTTTATAACACCATTGACTGACTCTTTCCTCCTCTTATATAGGAGGATCTCAAAATCTTGCTGCCTTTTGCTGTGAATCCTGCAATACTATTGTTTGTCCTTCCAAAATCACTTCTCCAAAGAGCAACCTCCAAAGAGAGTATAATTTTTAAATGATACCTACAAAAAAGAACAATTAAATGTAGCTATCTTCTTTTCTTTCACTTCCATACAGAGTCAAAAGCTACAATCCTGTTTTTTAATCTTTTTTACATTTCCCTGTCTGCTCCATCATTTCCAACAAGATAAAAAAATGAAATAAGATTAACTCATAATTCATTGAAACTATAATGAACTGCAAAATTAGGAATATTGTTTAATATTGATTTTCAATATGAAACAATTGGTTTGCCTAGGCTGTTTACCACAGCAACACCTTGAAATGTATAAAGTTTTACTGACAACAGTAAAAACTTCCCACAGCTAATACTCTTTCAGGAGTATATGGCAGCATCTACAAATCACTATCTCCAGTTCTTTTTATGGCATTGTGTCACATTTGTTCCTTGGTCATAATTTTTAAGTAATTAACTACATCAGGAATATAAATATGTAAAATGATGGAAGTGTCAGCATATTTGTCAATTGGGGGTTTGTTTCTTACAAATACAAGACACGGGATTTGAACACAAACCCTACTTTATAAACACACCAACTATTTCAGAGGTATGCAGCACTAAAATATCAGTTGTTCTCTTTTTGATCCCTGTTATATTCTTCTATCAAGACAAGACTCTATATTTCCCTTTCAGTCATCCTATCACTCTTATTTTAGTGGAATTATCATAACACATTGCCATGATAAATTTTTTCATGCATATTCTCTTAAATTCCTTGCCTTGTCCTACAAATGAACCAGTGGGACAGGGTCATCCA